GCCAAGTGTGGTCAATTGCTTTCTGCAAGGCAAATTTACTATTTGAGCCCATGGAGAACCCCTTGCAGGTATTGCATGGAGTGAATACAGAATAGCTTGTATTAATATATAAAAAAGGCCCAAAACCCAATTTTGGATCTTGTAGACTGCTTATTAAAGGATACCGAATCTGAGTCAAAAGCTATAGTATGAATAGAAGCAGGTTAAACAAAGGAGTTTTAAAGGGAGTTGTCAGTTTAAGAGATACAGATGTGAGACAGAGTGAATGGGATGGGGAAGGGAAACACGTTGAGTATCACTTATAACTCAGGTAATATCTGCATCACATAAAATAATTAAAAAGTGAAAAATTGACTATGAAATATAGAAGCTCAGCGTGACTTCTGTCAGATCTGTCTCCTGTTCAAAGAAAGTAAACATTGAACGTGTAAGGGTGAATGCTGCTGTGTGAAGCACAAGACTTCAATGGAGAACCAGAGAAAACAGATAGAACTGGCCTCTCTGAGGTATATATTAATACGTAATGGAATTTCCCAAATTTTGAAGACATCAATTATTCATTTCTTTAGGAAAGTAAAATAAGTTCTTCAGCAGAAAGCAACTGAAAAATGAGTGTCCTTGTCTGAAAATATAAGATCTTAATAAAACTAATCATAAAATTGGCCTTGGTGGGGAGAGCACAGAAATAGAATCACATGGCCCAAGTAAAGTCCTAAAAATAGGGAAGATCATGCACAAAGACACAGAGGTAAGAAAAGACATATTGAATGAAGTCTAGAGTGTAGGAGCACGTGTGTCACTGTGTGTGCGTGTTTATGCATATAGGTAAGTTCAGATGAGCCTGGAAAATTAACAAGGGTGTGAATTGACCAGATTTGTATGTTAGAAAAATATACTCAAGGAGAAGAAAAACTATTTTGGAAACCATTGCAGAAATACATTAAGATATAGTGGTGACATCGACTTAAGTTTATGATGATTGATTTGGAGAGAAATTCTAGGGAAAATTACACAGAAAAGACCTGATTCTTCAGACACACAGTGCCCACAGAAAGCTTCACTACAAACAGAAAATTTTTACATAAACAGATAAATATCCCTTCACTAGAATAAAATATATAAATATATTTCCATTTGCAGATGGTTTCCTTCAATACTAGAAACAGAAGTGGACTTTAAATCTGTGCTACAAATCTCTCAAGCAAAAATTTTACCTCAGACAGTTTTACCTGTTATTTTGGAAATATAAAGAAATTGTTTGATTTCTTAATTTAAATTTATAAGTTAATTTTAAATTTCTATTCATGAAATGCAAAAATTAATTGCACTTTAATAGATATGTGAAGATATTTTTTTTATTTCAAGAAATCATGGAGGTACAAACATTTTGGTGTAGTACTGTGTAGCTTTGCTCATATAGGCCTATTGTGCATACTAGATTTGTCAGGGACTTGTAGCTCCTTGCTATTCTGCACCTGCACCACTGTCATTTGTGGTAAATTTTTATCAATATAGTGAAATTTAAAATATATAGTCAACCAGGAGGTAATATGAAATAGCATAACTAAAGTTTAAGCTAAAATTTTGGTAAGTAGTTTTCAATCTGATTTTAGAGCTTGATGCAAACCTGAAAGGTGAGATAACAATTTCATTAAATAGGGATAACTTTGAGGAAGTGGTCCCAATGTCAATCTCTCTACAGAATCAATGATTAAACCACTACCCACTGACAAAAAACAGCTCTGGGAGAGCTCCAGAGTACAATAAAGAAGATGCAGCAATGAAATGGAGCACAAAAACTGAGGGTGACAACATAGAAAAGTGTAGGAAGCATTTTACTGCTATTACCTCATCCCCCAGTCTGACACATTTCAGCACCAAGGGGGATTCCTTTGTCCATGACCTCCCCCAACCATGGGAGAAAAGGAGAGGATGCTCCACTACTAAGGACCATTGCAATATTTACCAATCCTGACCCCAGACGATGGAGCTTGCTAGAGTCCATAGAGCATGAGCTAACAATGTCTCCATGCCACCTCAGCTCCATCACATGCATGCCCAGGCACTGATGTCATCATTGCTAGCAATTCCATGCCCCAGACCCCAGCACCACCAATGTTCTACTCATTCCTGAGCCCCAGAAATTAGCACAGGTATGCCTGCATCTCGGACTCTGGCTCCATGCATGCCCATATCCCAGTTCCAAGAGGGTCCTCAGTTGTGACTTCTCCCTATAGGGGAAAAGAAAAATAGAAGGACTACAAAAGCTATTGCTACTACTGCAGACACTCACAACTTTGGCTCACCAAAGACCCCTGTACTCTTTGCTGATATCCTCAACTGACTGGCATCTACGCTGCTGCACACCACCCAGCTGGCACCCTTACACTGGCACATAGATAAAGATATTTTCTGACTGAATTCAGTCTATAAAGTACAGAAGAGGTGACTCCTCCTTCAAATGTGCAGACATCAACACAAGGATACTAGGAATGTGAAAAATAAAGGGAAGATAACACCAAAGAAGCAAAATAATTTTGTAGTAACTGGACCACAAAGAAATTGAGATCTATTAATTTTCTGACAAAGGATTCAAAATAATGGTTTTAAAGAAGCTCAGCAAGAGAGAACACAGACAACTCAATGATATCAGGAAAACAATAATGAATAAAATGAGTTCAACAAAAAGATAGAAAGCATAAGAAAAAACAAATTCTAGAGATGAAGAATATAATGACTGAAATAAAAAATAAAATGGCTTCCAAAGTACACTCAATCAAGAAGAAAAAAGAATAAGAGAAATCAAAGACCAACAGTGGAGAAAAAAGTGAAAAAGAGTGAAGAAAACATATGGGATTTATAGGACATCATCAAGCAAACAAATATATACATTATGGAAATCTCAGAAGAATGGAGAGACAAATGGTAGAAACTTTGTTTAAAGAAATAATGTCCAAACATTTTCCAAACCTTAAGGGAAATCAATTTTCAGATTCATGGATATGAAACCAAAAGCATAGCAACAAAAACGAAAGTAGACAAATGAAATTGCATTAAATTAGAAAACTGCTGCACAATAAAAGAAATCATCAACAGAGTGAAAAGACAACTTATGGAATGGGAGAAAATATTTGCAAACCATGTATCTTATAATGGGTTAATACTGAAAATATATAAGAAACTCATATAACTTGATAGCAAAAAAACCCCATTAAAATGGGCAAATAACATGAATAAACATTTCTTAAAAGAAGACATACACATAAAATGTGGTATATGTATGCCATGTAGTTCTACTCAGCCACAAAATCAATGGAGACTAGCACTCTAGCACCTCTTCTATCATGATGGATAAAGTTAGAACCCATTCTTCTAAGTGAAGTATCACAAGAATGAAAAAACAAGCACCACATGTACTCACCATCAAATTGGTTTTAACTGATCAACACTTAAATGCACATATAGTAATAACATTCATCAGGTGTCGGGCAGATGGAAGAGGGAGGAGGGAATGAGTGTATACACACCTAATGGATGTGGTGTGTACCGTCTGGGGGATGGACACATTTGAAGCTCTGACTCGGGTGGGGCAAAGGCAATATATGTAATCTAAACATTTGTACCTCCATAATATGCTGAAATAAAAAAATTTAAAAAGTAAATCTAACTGGCAAATAGCAAACAATAAATAAATAAATGCAAATGTCACAGTAATTGTATTAAATGTAATTTGTTTTAGTGGATTAAAAAAATCAATTCCGAACTAAAAACAACAACAAAAGAAGACATACAAATGACCAATAGGTATATGAAAAGATGCTCAACATCACCAATCATCAGGGAAATGCAAATCAAATCCACAATGAGATATCACCTCACATCTATTAGAATGGCTATGATCAGAAAGATGAATGATAAGTGTTGGCAAGGATGTGGAGAAAAGTAAACCCTTGCACACCATAGATAAGACTGAAAATGGGGAAAATCATTATGGAAAATAGCATGGCGGTCCCTCAAAAAATTAAAAATATAACTACCATATGATCCAGTAATCCCACCTCTGAGTATATATCCAAAGGAAACAACATCCCAAAGATAAATATCTGCACTCCCATGTACACTGCAGCATTATGCTCAGTAGCCAAGATATGGAAACAACCTAAATGTCCATCAGGAGATAAATGAATAAAGAAATGTTGTATATATACACATTGAAATATTATTGAGTCTTACAAAAACAAGGTTATACTGTCATTTTATGACATTGTGGATGAATCCAGAGGACATTATGCTAAGTGCAACAGGCCAGACACACAAAAAAACAAACACTACATGATTTCACTTATACGTGGAATCTAAAAATAGTCAGACTCATAGAAGCAGAGCACAATGGTGGTTGTCAGGCAGTGTGGGGAGCGGAAAATGGGAAGATATTGGTCAAGACATAAGTTCCAGTTATGCAAGATGAATAAGTTCTGGAGAACTAACACACAACAATGTGACTATAGTGAACAATACTGTATTGTATCCTTGAGGGTAGATCTTAAGTGTTCTCACCATACACATACAAAAAGAATGACTGAATAAATCCATGGAAGGCACTGTGCTTTAAAGATAAATAAATAGATAAATAATAAGGTTGGAAACACAAAAAAGAACTCAAAACAAATCTTTAAAGATTTGAAAATCTTTGAAAAATAAAATAAAAATAAAAATAAAAATCTGAGAAAAATAAAAACCAAAGTGCAAGAAAAAGTGGACTAACATTATTTTGGCTATAGATTACAAGTTTTGCTTAACAAAATAATTGTATTAATTATTTCATTACAATATTAATATAGGTGGAGCTATACAAGTTTCCTTTCAGCATGATTATTTTGAGAATTATCCCATGTGTTAGCTGACATCACTAGATCTAGATCACTTCTTTTTTAAGAGTAATTCTGCTTTTATTTTTTAAGTAAATGATTAATTAAATGATGTAATGTTCATGATGCTACAAAAATGTGAAGAGTATATATAAATATTTTTATCATAGTTGATATACATAAAATACTGATGAATCTGAAGCAGAAGTTCACTGAGAAATGTTTATAAGCATTAGGTGTTGAATTTACAGATGTTGCCCAAGTTATACATTCATGATGGGATACTCACCATACACTCTGATTGTTTAAAATGAAAGAAAGAAATAGCCAATTAAGTAGTGCATAGAAAACTATCTAACAATCTTCACATGGATCATCTACAATTGCGTGAGTTTTCATTACTCTTTCCATAGGAGTCTTAACAGAATCATATTTCCATCCCTTCCTGAGAAACAACTTCTCAAGGATGTCTGGCATCCTGTAGCCCTTGCTTAGAATAAAATCCTTAAAGGCAATTGTTCCATAAAGGTCGTCAATAATGTCCGGTTCACGAGCTCTTGCTTCAGCTTCAAGTAAGACCTTGGGGTCAATCAAAGGTTCATCATTTATTAACTTTTTCCACAACTTAGGCTTCAGGTACCATGCGCCATACCTCATCTTCACCCAGTTGGGTTTATAAGGATTCGGTGGTTTCTGGAGTTTCCTCTCGATGTCTAGTTCCTCTATGGAGAATTTTACCTCCTCCGATTCCGTTAGCTTATCGCTGTACTTTAGCTCTGAAGGAACCTCGTTAACCTTCTTCATGTGTAGGTCTTCATAGGTTGGTTTGCACTCACTGCCAAAGTCAAACAGTTTCAGGATGAACTCTTCATCAATGCCCAAGATTCCAAAAGTAGCAACCCATTTGCAGAAGTTATGGATTCTTCTCGGTAGCTTTCTACCATCATGAGGAGGATCACCGAAAACATCTGCTGTGGTTGGCGTCTCTTCCTGAAGCAAATCTTCTGGATGGGTCGCGGGAGTCCTGGGAGGTCCCAGGAAGGCTTTCCTAGAATAATGTTTACAAGGCTTCATGGGTTCCCTGGTTCTTTTCCTTTTGCCCTCACAATAAGCCCATGTATCCTCCAGCTTCCTCTCAGGATCCAGCACTTCCAGCACCTTTAGTAAGAGATCTGCAGGTAGATATTCTTCCAGATTCGGGTAGAGGGCCAAGGGATGCTGAGTCAGGCTGGCTTCTACGTCCTCTACGAATGCCTTCCTTGCTTGCTGGGCTCGCGAGAGCCTGGAAAACAGGCCTGCATCCTTAGACAGCTTTCTCTGACTCGTTCTTGTGGCAGGTTGAGGAACTCTGTGAGAAATTAGGGGGAGAAAGGCCTCCTTAGGGCCACGAGTGATTAGACCATCACAAGGTGGACAGCCTTTCCTGAAGTCGTCCAGCCCTTCTTTCACAAATATCCACCGCCGGCCATTCAGGGAGGTGGGGAACTTCAGAAGCCTGTTCTTGTGCTTTGCGAAACACTTGGAAGGTAGTTTGTCGAGGTACCAAGGCTTGCAGTTCATGCCCAGGGGCATCGGCTCCAGCACCCAGGGCCGGAACACCCGCCTCTGGTCGGCCATCCTGGCCCTAGCTCCCGGGCCACAGCTGGAGATTCAATAGTTTGTTCTTGTGCAGCCACTGGGGTCGCTAGGAGACCAGGAACCACACACCGCTGGAATTGTTCCCGGAGGCGTGGCCAGATTCTCAAGGCCAGGGGATGGGTTGCTTCGGAACCCTCAGCCCAGCTCATTCCATTTTGTTGTCCATTGTATGGACATAACACCATTTACTTAAACATATGCTTTTTGATGTACATTTGGGCTATTTCCCATTTTGGACTATTACAAATAAAGCTTCTGTGAACATTTGTGTTCACGTCTTTTTATACACACATATTTTCATTTGTCTTGGGTAAATTTTAGTTAGGAGTCCAATGGTGGGATCTTATGATAGGTGTATGTTTAACATTTTTAAGAAAACAAGTTTTTCCAAACGGATTGTACTATTTTTAATTTTTTTTTTAAAAATTGACAGATAAAATTGTATGTGTTAATATATACATGTCAAACATCATGTAAATATGATGTTTGAAGTATATGTACATTGTGGAATGAATAAATCTAGATAATTAATATACGTATTGCCTCATATGGTTATCTTTTTAATGGTGAGAACACTTGCCCACTCTCTCAGCATTTTTCAAGAATACAATATATTGTTATTAACTATAGTCACCATGTTGTATAATAGATCTCTTTAAGTTATTCCTCTTATCTAACTGAAATTTTGTATCCTCTGACCACATGGTTGTACTCTTTTATATTCCTTCTACAGTGTATGAGAATTGCAATTCCTTCACATACTCACCAACACTGGAGTAGGTGGTCATTTTAATTTTGGCTATTCTAATAGGTGTGTAGTGGTATCTCATTGTGGTTTTAATTTGCATTTCCCTAATGACTTTTGGTGTTGAACATCTGTTCACATGCTTGCCATCCATAGCTCTCCTTTGGTGAAGCATATGTTCAAATTTTTGCACATTATTTGTGTTGCTTGATAACTCATTGAATGTTGAGAGTTATTTTTGTTCTGGATTTAAGTCCTTTGTCTGATATATGACTTGTGAATTTTTCCTTTCATCTAGGGCATGTCCTTTCATTGACTTGACTGTATATTTCAAAGAGCAGAAGTTTTCAAATTTGATGAAATCCAATTTATCAATTTGTTCTCCTATGGATTGTTATTTTTGTATTGTATCCAAGAAAGTTTTGCCTACCCAGAGGTCACAATTTTTTTTCATTCTTCTAGAAGCTTTATAATTTTAGGTTTTACTTTTAGATTTGGGATTTATCATCTATATTAATTTAATTTAACTTTTGTAGCTGGTGCAACATATGGATCAGCGATTTTTTGCTTTGTTTTGCCTGTGGATATCCAATAGTTCCAGAAGTATATATTTTTGAAAAGATGAGCTTTTCTCCACTGAATTGCCTTTGTAACTTTGTAGAAAATCAGTTATCCATATTTCTATGGATTTGTTTCTGTTCCCTTGATTTTTCTTTCTTCACAACAATTCTACACTGTGTTGATTACTTTTGCTTTATAATAAGTCTTCAAATCAAGCTGTATTAGTCATCCAACTTTGATCTGTTCTGTTTGTTGTTGTTGTTGTCGTTGTTCTAGGTCATTTGAATTTCTATGAGAATTTTAGAATCAATTTACCAATTCTACAAAAAGCCTGTTGGTAATTTGATTAAAATTCTGTGAAATCCAAAGATCAATTTGGGGATAATTGACATCTTACCAATATTGAGTTTTCTGATACATGAAAAAGGTACACTTCCATTTATGTATGTGTCTTTTCATTTATCTCAGCATCATTTTGTAATTTTCATGGTAGAGATCTTTCACATCTTCTTTTTCCTCCAGATTTTCCCCTAACTATTTCATGGTTTTGATACTACTGTGAATAGAATTGAGGGCAAACTTTGAGGGTGGAGGACAATGTACTGTACCTCATATCTGTTGGTGATGAATCTGCTCCTTTTTTATATGGCCTTATTTTACATTGGTTTCTGAATGATGTTTTTTGTCTGTGTATAAAATTCTGGGTTGATAGTTTTTTGTTTTTTTTTTTCATTCAGTACTTTAAAGATGTGGCTACATTGTTTTCTCTGATGTCCCCTTGATTTTTGTGTCTTTGTACCTAATGTGTTTTTCCCCGTGGCATTCTAGGAACTGTGTGAATACCAGGAACCTTTATCTATACTCTTTTTAGGTGGTTCTTCTCCTTCTCGAAGTTGCTTAGCTTAATCTCCTCAACTTAGTGATACTAATGGTCTCTGCCTTGGTTACCCCCTCTATTCAATACATAATCTGAGGCAATCATAGAAAACACTTCATTTGTTTTCCATCTCTGCTGCTCAGTTTCTGCTGCCTGGTGTCCAGTGCCTTGCTATTATCATATATTATCATATTATCAACTATTATCATATATTTTTCCTACTTTTTTTGGTTGTTTCAAATGTAAAGTGGGTCCCTCTTAGTTTATCTTGGTCAGAAGAGGAACTATAACTTACTTTTTATTGCTCTATCTCCACCAATCTAGTGAAGCTATTTTCTTACATGTCACTAGAGTCTTTTTAACCATGAGATAGCTTATCACATTCTTAATGATCTTCGTTATTTGAAATTATGGATAATACCCACCTTATTGAAACAAGCTTCTACCTTAGATTTAATACCATTCTATTTTTCTTTATCTTATAATGTTAATCATTAACATTTCCTTTAAAATACACAAGATGAATAGCAAATTCCACCATACCAGTGGGCATTTTACAACTTTCATCCAAAACAGCTTTTCTCTTGTCATCAATCAAAAATTTGAACACACAAATTACAGATTAAGTGCCATTCCTCCACCATGGCCTTAACTTATGTCTTTTAAAAAATCCATTTGGTCACTTATTCTTTTACCACACATTTGTTAAGTTCCCATTTTATGCCAGACAGTGTACTGTGTCCTCAAACTATTACAATTAAAAGATACAATTACTATCTTTTCCTAATAATGAAATTAACACAATTTCTTGTCATATGAAATCAGTTTTTGCACACCAATTATTTCAAAAGTTTTGTTCAAACTTCATCTTTGAGATAAACCTTTTGTGAGTAAGTACTGAGTGGTGAAGATTAAGATTACAAATCAATGATATAGAATTAAATGGATCAATACAATTAGGGTGAACAAAGATTGGTATCAGAAACTAAAATATAAAGCCAGGAAATAAAAATCTAAGTGAGCATGAAAATGGGAACTGTGTCTAAATCTAGAGATAATTGTTTATGACTTTTTATTTGCTTCAATAGGAATCACTGATAGAAATATCCACTTAGAGATAAAGAAAATGTGACACTTTCACAGGAAGAAACAAAGACAATTAGTAAGTTTCATAAATTAATGGTCAATAATAAGAAAACTTCTAATATTCTAACTCCTTTGGAAGTTCAACATCTTTCCACTTCATCATACAACACATATATTTTCCATATGGTGAAAGATATAGGTGCAACAAAATTACACATATCTATTATTGCAATTAGTAAGGGAAATGTAATGAATATGCACTGTACATTCTAAGTAATGCTTCCAAAGCTCATTTCCTGCCATTAAAGAGATTACATTAGTACATAAGAATCCATATCCTCAAAGTATCCATCCTATTCCACTCAGAGAAGTGAATATTAGGAGATATGGATACTGTAAAAAAAAGGTCTGTTGAGGATATTTAACATCTTCCAAAGCTATACCTTTGAAAAGTGATCATTATTATAGAATTCCCAATACTTGGTTCAACTGCTCCATCCTATGCTTCTTTAAATAATAGACAGCATGCTAATTTTGTCTATTAAAGATCATTGTTACCCTAGATATTGCTCCTATATATCAACATACAATAAAAACATTTTTATACCTTCTAGAAATAGTTTTCAATATCAGATTATTATTCTACTAGAGTTTATACTGTCAATTGCCTTCCTCTTTTAGATTTCATTTTTATTTATATTTTTATTAACATGACATTGTTAGTTATTTCTCTACATTCTTAACTTCTATGTGTTGTTTCTCCCTCTTTTGGGGAGAAACTATCAGCTATTTGCATTTAATTATGTTCCCACTGGGTCACATGCTTTTCCAAGCTTTCCAAATTTGGTCTCTTTTGTTTAGTATTTCCCCATAAATTATTTCAGGCCTGCATCATTTTGTTCAGCTCTGAATTTCACCTACTTTGGCCCTTAACTTTCACTATGGAAAGACGCAAAGTTTGTTGTTTCTGAAATATCAAGAAAGTTCTTATTTTATCACTTGAATACTCAAATGAAAAAAAGTATAGCAGAGAAAATTTATATTTCTTTCCAAACTTGCAAAAGAAAACACAGGGTCTTTTTTTAGTGGAGTCTTTGGTATATTGTCTATATAAGAGCATGTCATCTGCAAACAATGACAATTTAACATCTTCCTTCCCAATTTGAATGTCTTTTATTTCTATTTCTAGTCCAATTGCTCTGGTGAGGATTTCCAGTGCTATTTTGAATAGAAATGGTGAAAGTGGGCATCTCAGTCTTGTTCCTGATTTTAGAGGAAAAGCTTTCAACTTTTCATCATTGAATATAATGTTAGCTGTGATCTTGTCATATATGGCCTATATCGTGTTGAAGTATATTTCTTCTATACCGAATTGGTTGAGATTTCTTTTATCATGAAAGGATATTAAATTCTGTCAAAAGCTTTTTCTACATCTATTGAAATAATCTTTTTTTTATTAGTTAACGTATAGTATCACACCAATTGATTTGCATATGTTGAATCATCCTTGCATCCCAAAGATAAATCCCACTTGATCATGGCGTATGATCCTTTCAATGTGTTGTTGAACTCTACTTTATTCTTTTTGATGCTATTGCAAATTAAATTGTTTTCTAAATTTCATTTTTCAATTTTTCATTGCTAGTGTATAAAAATACAATTTCTGCATATTGATCTTATACTCTTCAACCTTCATGTACTTGTTTATTAGTTCTAATTGTATTTTATTGGGCTTCTTAAAATTTTAAATATACAAGATCCACCAT